TATTTTTCTATCTATCTTAATTACATTTTCTTAATCCTTGTGAAAATGGAAGCAAGACTATTTTTGTGTGATCGAGGGAGTGATACATAGATGGATTTTTTTTAGTCTATAAACAGAAGCATATCTTGTTTAAATATTTTGCAATAGTAACTTGACTCTTCTAAGAACTTCAAGTTGGTTCCCAGCTGAGTTGTATGGTGTTGCTGGATTGATGATTCAGAGGAGGACAGATTAGATGGTGCAGGACCATGTCGGAATAGTGTAGCGATGTTGTGGAGGAAAAGGGAAAAAAATTCAAAAAACTTCAACAATTATCAAATACTGAGGTTTAATAACATCGAAGATTATTATAACAATATAGCGTCAATGTTGAAATAGGAATATAATGTTTGTCGTCAATGTTGAAATAGGAATATAATGTTTGTCCAGTCTCAAGGACGGGAAAAAAACAAACTAACTTGGCAACAATCAAGGGTGACTGTTGATTTTATTTTTCAAACAGTTCAATTATATGTTGACACGTGTACATCCTTTTTGGAACCTGTTTTTTAGCCTGTCTGTATAGCATAATAGGTTGAATTATTCCTTTTTAAAGAAAGCAGCTGAGAAACTCAGTAAAGCGGTGATCTGTTCTTCAAGGAATTAGTCGAATATTGATTTGAGTGCTCGATACAAACTGTAAGGAATGATAATAGGCTACACTGCTGTATTGAGATGTGCACCATCTTTAACAATTTCTCAATCCCCACAGTGGAAAAAAATCACTAAAAGCTGGAGCCAAAAATAAAGTGAAAAAGTAATCAAGCACTAACAAAATTCAAGAATCTTTGAAAAGTCCAAACCATAACTTTTTCTATTGTTGAGCAGGCTCAAGTTATATCTTTCCTTTGTTGGAAAAATCTTGCATGTGGGTTAGTTATGTCTTCTGTTCAACACAGAAGGTCTTTTAATGGATTGTGGAAGTTGAAGAACAGAGATATGGCTGTTGAGGAAATTATCAGAGAGCGTGGGGCGACAATAAGGAGCGGTAAATTTAAAGGGAGGAGGCTTTTCGAGGCAGGGGAGAGGGCAGCTGAGGTGGAATCGGATTCGAATGATGATGAAATGTGTAGTGATTGTTTCAACATGCTTGAAGAAAGAGAAGTGAATAGTGAAAACTTGAAGAGAAACCAAGAAGAGTTAAGTACTTATTTTCGTCCATCTTGTTCTTTTTCGGGTTCGACTTTGCCGGACGAGAAGGTGGAGATTAGTGAAACGGTGGTGGTGGAAGGGGAGGCGGGTGTGGTGGAGACGGGTGGAGCAAGTAGAAATTTGAGGGTTGGTGGTAGTGGCGGTGAAAGGTGCATGCTTGCATTAATTTGGTTTGCTATTGTGTCAATGCTGTTTACTCTTGGCCTAATTATCTCAATGAGTTGCTGTGATAGATATGTGCTTGATAAAGAGGTAATTCTTGTTCCAACATAAAAACACAGTACCCAGTTTTTTTTTTTTTTTTTTTATAAGCTATGGGATTAAGATTGATAATGAAAGTTTAATTGTGGATTTTCATTTTATCAGTAAAGATATCATTTTCTGCCAGTTGCAAGACCTTTTTCACTTTTAAATTCTGCTTAAATTACTTGTTACGTAGGAAACCGAGAATTGATCATAATTCATGTGTTATGGGGTGAATGAAAATTTGAGTCTGAGCTTATGTTTGTCACTACACATGTTTAAAGATCGGTGATATGTGACAAGAATAGTTAGTTGACATGTCCATTCCTGTTTAGCATAAAAAATTTCAGTTATGCTGCCACTTGATGATCAGTAGATCATGAACTCAAGTATACTGTCAGAAAATTTCTGTGATATGCAAAGAACAACTAAAAAGTGCAGTTCGGAGATCATTATTGCAAATTATAGAAACAAATTTATTGGAAATATAGCTTATCATAAGAAGGTTCCAGCCAACAAATATGCTATCAAATAACTTAAGTCCAAGCCGTAAAAAATGACGCGAGCCATTTTTCTCTAGTAAGATTGCGAAAACATAAAAGACGATATGAAAACAGGTGATGGCGAGAATAGAAGTTCTTAAAACTGAATGGAAGAAATTAGAAAGAAAGCGGTCTACTTCTTCTTGGGATCAGCATTGGCTACCGGAGCAGACTTTGCTGGCGTATTGAGCTCTTCCCAAGCTTCGATCCAAGTAACCATGGCATCTGCGAGCTTTTGGAAGTAGGGGTCGACTGGGCTGAGCTTCTCCTTCACCATCTTGGAAAGCTCAATGTAGCATTTTTGAACAGTTGTGGATTCTTTTGAGAAGGTTACCTTCTGGAAGAATGGAATAATTTCCTCTTGCCAGTATATACCCTTGTATTCCTTCTTCAGATTGACAAATGGGTTGCTAGCCTTGCTGTGCCAGATATACGGCAGCCCCGTCTTAACTCCAAGACTAAGATGATCACAGATTACCTATGAGAATGCCAAAATTAAGTTTTTCAAAACTCACAGGTAAGGTGGATTAAACAGATCTGGACAGTATTTAAGAGGAAAATAATAAACCCTTGTCACTCTCACAGTTGGTACAGAGTTCTGAAAATGCCTGGCTGATATGAAAACAAGTACATATAAGAGGGGCCAGCTGAATTACCTTAGCACACCAGCCAGCCCACATGTCATCATATCTACCGATAGGTTGGCCATCGCCCATGAGTCCAAAATACATAGCAGGGCCAATAAGTTCTCTGTCGAACCCGAGATTCATACCACACATAGGAAAGAGAGTCCCTTTGGGAATTGTCATAACAGCATCTACATACCTGTGTTTGGTATTTAGTACACATCAAGCAAGCATTGAGGTGAAAAACAAAAATAAACACGGGTTTTTTCAAGGATGATGGATATCTAACTCCGTTCACATAATCTAGAAGTGAGATCAGTACAAGAAATACCGTTTGTTGTTGGGTTGAGGAACTAACCTGGTGTTGCGCTCACGAGGTTTGACAAGCTGAGTCGGGGCATCATAGTCAGGAATGTTAAGCCAGAGCCCGTGTGAGATGGCAGTTGGCACTCCTTCCCTCATGCTAAATGGATAGCCACGGACAAAGTCAGCCCCTTCTCTGTATGGATCGTACAGTGTGTTGAAGAAGAAGGGCGTCGATGGTGCAAGCAGATTATGAATGTGCTGTTGCAATGCATTGATCTCTTTCCCAGTTGGATCCTTGGCCACCTATTTCCATTTCAATTTTTCCAATGCAACGAGTAAGAAAATTTCTAATGAAGACACAAAAGAATGATTGTTGGAGGAAAAAGAAACCTATGAGATGTTCGATTCGCTAAACTCGAAACAACTAATAAAAATAAGGTGATCAAATATATGAGGTGTTCGTCTGTGGACCTATTAGTGTATCTTGACATTTTCTTGAAAAGTCGAACTTTCTATTAGCCAAGTGTCTCTTTTTTCTGTTTCTTTTTTTTTTTCTATGTACAACAAAATGGGATAATGAAAGCGAAGAGTAACAATTTGGCAAGTCTTTATTTGACATTTAAATTTCTTTAATGGCATTAAATTATGCTTATTGATAGTATGAATTATCTTATGACTTTTTGTCTATTTTATGGTAGGTGAACTGCAATTAGTTAGAGAAAGCAATTTGCACCAATTGGAAGAGGCAAGACATGACAAATCAACAAGTACTCATTTGAATTTTTCCCATTTCAAATTTCAAATGATCAAAAAGAAAAAGAATAGTCTAATCGATTGGTAGTTCTGCCCGATCCCCAAATAATATCGTGGATCATATCCGGTCAAGGCATCCTCGACCATAAGCTTCCGATCCCTGCCCCCCATTGTTAATTGGTCAACAGAAAATCTAGGGGTGAAAATGGGTTGAGCCGGCTCAGCCTTTTACACCCAAGCTTGGGTCATGTGCACGAGTCAAATCTTAGGATCATTTTGGCCCTTAGCCTCATTGGCCTTATGGGTCGAGCTGAACTATCCACTGGTAGGGGTATTTATTTATTTTTAAATAAACTAACAAAATAAGCCAGCCAAAACAAAAGAGCAAATTTTTAAGAAACCAATAAAATAAGTCCAAAAATTTGAGAAAAACTTAGCCACCTCATGGAAAAACAATGTGAGCCAGCTCGTCTAAAAAAATGCGGCCTAGCCGTCCATGAGTTGAGTTGGAATGACCCGAGCCTGCAAGCAGCTCGGCCCATTTGCCAACCCTTCAAAAATCCAACCTTGTTTAATAGTCAAGTCAACCAAAACATTTTACTAGGACTAAATTGCTACAAAAGATAAAAGATTGGAACCAAAATATCAAGAAAAACAGGTTAAACACGTAATTTCAATTTACAGACAAAAATTGGGGAACTCGGCTCCCAATTTTCCCAATTACAAGACAAAATCTAATTGAACCCATTGCACAGAAAATTCAACAGATCTGTTTTTCTTTTGCATAAATTTTTCTGTCTAGTGGGTCCAGAAGTTATAAGATCCAATAGAGCAAAAGCTAGTGGGTCCCATTCCAATCATACACAGTTCGATATCCACGTGTCAAGATCTTGAAATATGATACACGGTAATCACTCAGTACGCCGACAAGTACTGAATCTTAATCTCTTCTCTAACAATGATTTCTTCTAAGCATATTCTAATGGCAGATTGACTTTCCAAACCCAGCATCCAGATCCACCCAAACTCGACTCTCCAACTCACCGAGTCAACTCACACACAAATCCAATTATACATAACGTATCGAGAGAGAAATTTAGAAAGAGGATAGAGAACTTACAAAGCAGTCATCATCAATGGTATAGATGTACTTCTTCTTCGAAACCATGAATCCGAAGCATCGGCAAGCAGAATCCTTGAAGGAGATGCAAGAGGCTTTGGGGCCGAGAATCCTGTTAATATCATTCCGATTGTAGAGTTCATAATCGAATCCCTCGGGGACATTGATTTTTTTGCTGGGATCTCCATCTTGAACAATAATCAAATGATATGGCTGGAAAAATGGGCGCCACATTTCGAGGAAATCCAGGTTCCTTATCGTCGGAATCACTATATCCAACTCATCCTTAAGCGGCGGCGTCACCGGTGTCACTGGCGTTGTCATTTTCACTCGAGAAAAACCTGACCACTTTCACTTTGCGTATGTATAATCTCTGTGAAGAGAAGTGGATGGAAAATTGGTAGAATATGAAGGTAAATATATAGAGGGGATGGGAGTGAATGCAGTGTGGAGGGCCCACTGAGATCTACCATTTTTATCTAGATCCAGTTTGGTGCAGCTTATTTAATTTTTTATTTTTTTATTTTTTTTTAAAAAATTCATTTCCAACCACATATTTTTTTAATAAAATAATTTTACATACAAATTTATATTATTTATTTATTTTTTAATGAAACATTCTTGTGAAAAAAAATCATTTTTTTCATAAAACTAATTCTAAAGAAAATTACATCAAACAGACCCTATTGTGTTTAATTAAAACTATTCAAAGTTTGAAAATACATATATGGTTGTAACTTCATTATTAATAATGTTTATGGTAAATTTTTTAGTTGATTTTGTTATATTTTGGTGAATCTAGACGTGTAGTTTTCATTTAATTTTGCTTAGTCCTTGTTCGTCTTTCGTTTTCATTTTTTTTTTTTTTTTAAAAACACTCTTTTTCGATTACACATTTATTGAGATTTACGATTCTTATTAACTTTTCAGTCACACATTTCATTAATTATTATTAAAATTTACTAAATTTTGATTTTTAGATAAACTAAAAAGGACTTTGTCTTACTCAAGAAATTGGGTGAATATGAATCAATGTGACCTTTATTGAACAATAAGTCATAAGTATTAATTAAAATTTTATTTTCTATACATTCTAATAAATCTAGGGAAATGTTCTCAATTAATAATGTGATGTATTTTAAAAATTCTCAATTTTTAATCAAAGCATTAAAATTTAGGTGTTTTCAATTGAGATTTTAATGAACTTCCATGAAATATTTAAAATTTAGGTATTTTCAATAACTAGTGAATTTATAAATGTTCCATTAACAGATGAATTTCAAACTTAGAAATATATATAATCAAATATTTTGAAATTTCACTATATTTAATGAGATTCTGAAGAAATTTGTGAAAATCTATTCAAATTTACGAAATTCATTAGAATTAATAATCTTTTAAAATTCGTCAAAATTTTAAATGAGCATACCCCCGCTAGTCTTGATCAGTCATGTAAACCAAGTGAGTCAATGAATCAATAACTACATAGAAACGTACAAATTTGGATTTTAATTAATAACAAAGAGAGCTATTTATTTCTTCTTTGCTTTTAAAGTCCATGTGACAATTTCAATTTTGTACCATTAAGTAAGGTGCAAAATTCCATTAATTAAAGATTAATTAATCCGCTCCATAAAAGTCATACATTCAATTTTGAAGTTAATTACTTCTTAAGTATGCATAAAAAACGCCTTCCGTACAAATATTTTTGGATGGCTAGCCCTCATATTTTAGGGCATGGGATGTAGGGTTTGTTTGGCAAGATTTCTATTTTTGCCTTTGTATTTCGTAAAATAACTTCTCGAGAAAATTACTATCTTATGTCAATTCCTTTAAAAGCACTTCCAGAAAAATAACAAAAAAGATTGAAAAGTAACAAAAAAGATTCAACTGTTTACTTTTGAAAAATCATGTCAAACGATCCCTTAGTTGCGCAACATGATTCTTAGTACTAACTTTGTCTACTAGTGTTTGTTTTGCTAGTTTTTAGCAAATTTAAAATTTCGAGTCTTGATAGATTGAGTTTCTTTGAGAATTTGATGTATGTATAATCTCTGTGAAGAGAAGTGGATGGAAAATTGGTAGAATTTGAAGGTAAATATATAGAGGGGATGGGAGTGAATGAAGTATGGAGGGCCCACTGAGATCTACCATTTTTATCTAGATCCAGTTTGGTACAGCTTATTTAATTTTTTATTTATTTTTATTTTTTTTTTAAAATTCATTTTCAACCACATATTTTTTCAATAAAATAAATTTACATACAAATTTATATTTTTTAATGAAACATTCTTGTGAAAAAAAATTATTTTTTTCATAAAACTAATTCTAAAGAAAATTACATCAAACAGACCCTATTGAGTTTAATTAAAACTATTCAAAGTTTGAAAATACATATATGGTTGTAACTTCATTATTAATAATGTTTATGGTAAATTTTTTAGTTGATTTTGTTATATTTTGGTGAATCTAGACGTGTAGTTTTCATTTAATTTTGCTTAGTCCTTGTTCGTCTTTCGTTTTCATTTTTCTTTTTTTTTTTTAAAACACTCTTTTTCGATTACACATTTCTTGAGATTTACGATTCTTATTAACTTTTCAGTCACACATTTCATTAATTATTATTAAAATTTGCTAAATTTTGATTTTTAGATAAACTAAAAAAGGACTTTGTCTTACTCAAGAAATTGGGTGAATATGAATCAATGTGACCTTTATTGAACAATAAGTCATAAGTATTAATTAAAATTTTATTTTCTATACATTCTAATAAATCTAGGGAAATGTTCTCAATTAATAATGTGATGTATTTTAAAAATTCTCAATTTTTAATCAAAGCATTAAAATTTAGGTGTTTTCAATTGAGATTTTAATGAACTTCCAAGAAATATTTAAAATTTAGGTATTTTCAATAACTAGTGAATTTATAAATGTTCCATTAACAGATGAATTTCAAACTTAGAAATATATATAATTAAATATTTTGAAATTTCACTATATTTAATGAGATTCTGAAGAAATTTGTAAAAATCTATTCAAATTTACGAAATTCATTAGAATTAATAATCTTTTAAAATTCGTCAAAATTTTAAATGAGCATACCCCCGCTAGTCTTGACCAGTCATGTAAACCAAGTGAGTCAATGAATCAATAACTACATAGAAACGTACAAATTTGGATTTTAATTAATAACAAAGAGAGCTATTTATTTCTTCTTTGCTTTTAAAGTCCATGTGACAATTTAAATTTTGTACCATTAAGTAAGGTGCAAAATTCCATTAATTAAAGATTAATTAATCCGCTCCATAAAAGTCATACATTCAATTTTGAAGTTAATTACTTCTTAAGTATACATAAAAAACGCCTTCCATACAAATATTTTTGGATGGCTAGCCCTCATATTTTAGGGCATGTGATGTAGGGTTTGTTTGGCAAGATTTCTATTTTTGCCTTTGCATTTCGTAAAATAATTTCTCGAGAAAACTACTATCTTATGTCAATTCCTTTAAAAGCACTTCCAGAAAAATAACAAAAAAGATTCAACTGTTTACTTTTGAAAAATCATGTCAAACGATCCCTTAGTTGCGCAACATGATTCTTAGTACTAACTTTGTCTACTAGTGTTTGTTTTGCTAGTTTTTAGCAAATTTAAAATTTCGAGTCTTGATAGATTGAGTTTCTTTGAGAATTTGATGTCAACAATAATCGTATCTTATTCGATAAAGAATCTCGAAAGTTTCTTCACTTGAATTCTTCTGTCCGTGTATCAAAGTTAGGCTGTAAAAAGATTGATTTAAACTTTCTTTATCAAGTTATAATTAATTTTTGTAATGCAGTTTTATTTATTCATTTGTAACGAACAAAGTCTTGTTAAATTTATATCTTTACTTTAAATTTATTGTTTTTAATTGGAAAATATTCAAAAATATTCTGATACAATATTTTGACCCCGTTTGTTAATTTTAGACTAAATTAATGTCAACAATTAATTTTAATCATATATTTGATAAAATCTATAATTTTTTTAACTATATGTTTTATCAATTTTTATTAAAATTTTCTAAAATTTGATTTTCATCTCCATTGAACAAAAAGTATATATATAGTATTGTCCAATGAAGGCTGCAAAAGCAGGCCTTATTACGTATACTAAAATATTATGAGTAACTAATGAGTGATTTGTGTGTAGACAAATTTATCAATTAGGATAATTAATTAAATGACATAAACATAATTCAACAATAATGTAAAATAATAGGGGGTTAGTTAAAGCTTTGGGAGTCATGTCGAAGACGCTGTTCTAAAGTCGTATTGTCTTCCTGTCGTGCGGGTTCTTTCGGTACTATACGGCTCCAAAACAAAATTCATGTGGCTCTCCTTCTATGGACACGACCATAGAGAGATGATTAAACGAGTCTCTCATCGAGTTGCCAAAAATATAATAATATAGTATAAATTATAGACTGTTTTCCTTCCAAATTACTGTAATCTAATGCTCATTTTCAATGAAATGTAATAATCTTTTATAGGTGAAAATCAACCATCACAATTAAGTTATTAAAATAGAGGTTATAACATGAATTATGATATTTTAATTGTGTTAAAAGTGATTATTAAATAAATAAAAACAGAAAATTAAATGAGTTAAATATTGAAAGGTTAAAACTTTATTTTAAGTCACAAAAATCCCCCACAAGGTTTAAGTTTTCAAAATAATTAAAAATGTATAATAGTGGCAACATAATACTGCGCAATAGGTGTAGGCGTCTTTTGAACTTGAATCTCACTTAGTGATAACAATTTCCATTTAAGGGAGTCATATTGGACTAAATCTTGAATTAGGTCCATTTGTCCAAACTTCAATTGTTTCACACGCAGTATCAATTTAGACTTCGTTCATAGCTAGTAGCACTTTTAATGACCATGTGTTCTAATCTTGATTCTAGTAAGAGTTTCTAGATAATAGCTCAATCTCATAACCACGATCTCATGACAACTCTTACATAAGTGAGTCTTCCAAGGGTGCATGTGACCCATACCTCACAAGAATTCTCACTTCGGTACTCATTCAGGGTTAAACATTTCCTAACACCACATTATCGTTAGCACTATCACCATAGGGATAAGCACAATATAAGTAGTGCTATTACAAATCATGCAATACGGGTTGTTTTTACCACATTGAACCTTCTTCATGAGATCTCCAATCACAAAAGTTGGATTACTCCCGGAGGTGACTACGTTATGGACTTAACCATCATCTTCAATGATTTATATATATGTCCATGGACTTCAATATATTCATGTCCCTCTTGGACAATAATTTGGTACCATAATATTTGCAAATTTTTATTTTTTGCTTGCACATTAGCAAAATCTTCTAAAATATTTCAAAA